AGAGAAGTTCTCAGAGTTTTCCAAAAGTCTTTTACAAATGCTTTAACCTTGTTTTAAGACTTAAGTTTTGAGTTCAGTAAAGAGTAAAGTTGAAGTCATTTCTTCAAAAGTATATGGGGACTAAGTATTCCCAAAGAGATTTAAAATGTTTTCACATTTAAATAAGAACAGAAACTGAGATTTCCAAAGAGCCTTCAGGCTAGTTTTCAGAAAAGAGTAATCGCTTTCTAAATGAAGCAATAGGGGAAACTTTGATTTCTAAGATAACCTTTGAGCTAAGTTTTTGAGCACTAATCTCAAATCACAGAAAGAAGTATGTTTTTAAAACATAAAGAGCTAGTATTATATTTTGGGAGTAGTATTGAGCACCGATATGGGGACGAGCTTGAGTTCAGATAACTCACGTCTCCATAAACCATGTAGCCATCATGGGTAGAGAAGGGTCATACTTTTTAGATGAATCTTTTTCGCATAGACTAGTGAATCCACTTAGTAGTTTAGGTCCTATACATGTGGAAAGGTATAGGATGCGCTGACAGCGTGAGGTAGATCGCTGTATCATCACAATAGCTCTTATGTGATGGTTGTCGGTTAGAGAAACTCCCACAACAGTACTTTGTATTTTTATAGACATCAGTTTATTGTATTTTTACATACATCTCAGAGTTATTTGTATCTTTGCATACACACAGAGTTGACATCATGTTTTAAACAACTTTTCTTTATATTGCATTTGTTTTAAACTACTTTATATTTAAATGAGTCCAGTTATGTTGAGTTGAGCCAGGTAAGTTCTTCAGTTCCTTTCAGATTCTTTTCAAGCCTATGTTGTTTTAGCATTCCAACTCGCATACTCGTACATTCAATGTATTGATGCCAGTTGGCCTGTATCGTATTATGATGCAGACACAGGTAACTAGGATTGTCATCCGGCGCACCGTTGATCCAGTTGAGCACTTCAGAGTTAGTGGTGAGCTTCTTTGCATTCCGGAGGACTCCTTTATTGCTTTTAGTTCTTTTCAGTATTTCATTGTTAGGATGATCGGGGGTTCTCTCCCGACATCCATCTCAGTTGTTTTATAGGCTTCATAGATAGTCAAATGTTAGTTCTTTAGTGTTTTCATTGTCATTATTCTATGCTGAGACTTGAGTTTGCCTTAATGGCCAGTTGAATGTTCATTTATAACATTCTAGTTTATTATATAAACTTATTTTTTTGTTGAGTTTAAGACTTCCGTTGAGTAAGTAAGCCAGGTTAGGGGTTCGCTTGAGCCAGCAATGGTTCTCGAGTGTCAGCCATGTCCGGGGTGTAGGCTCGAGGCGTGATAGTCTTTTAATTATAGGTAAAAGTCAAATAATTATCGGATAAGTGTTTAAGATTGTGACAGGTGTTCCACCATTAATAAAAAGGTATATACGCCCCAAAATTTAGTTAGTAAGGACATTAGTGTCCTAAAAGTATAATAGAGGATATTCAAATACCATTTACGATAGTTTGGGGGTATATTTATCCCTTTTCCCTTTATATAATATGATAGATCACAAATTTTGACCTTGCATATGCTAGGATTCTATTTGAAATAATAAATCTTGAAAAATTAAGTATATGAAAATAGTGAACGAGCTCGCCGACAATATATTTTCCAAAAAAGATTTTTTTAAATTTTTTTGTTAATGATTGTAAAAAAAGATATTCATCATCGTCAAAGAAGAAAAAAGTAGAATAGAGCGTGAGAGCTAAGTCAATGAAGAAGAAGAAGAGCGAAAGGGGTAGGAAGGGGTAGGATGAGGCAGAACAAGAAGAAGAGAATAGGGTGGATAGGGATGAAGAAAAAGAGCAAAGGATTTAAGTTTTCTTTTATTTTTGAGATAAGTATTAAAAACACCCTAAATTTGACGTGAATTATTACTTTAGTTCCCCAATTATTGACAGCCTTAAAAACACTATCTACTTAATTCAGTAATTTAAAAACACCCCTCTTATGCCACATGTCATCCACCTATGCGTATATATGAAATTTTCTGTTGATGTACGTACACATTGATAAATAGAGTAAAATAAAAGAAAAAAGAATCATTCAAATAATTAAATGTTAAATTTAGTATAGAAGAATTTTTTTTTTCTTGTTACCTCATCCCATCCCCTGCCCGGGTACCCCACCCCCACCCCCAATATATATTTTTTTAAAATAAGCTTTTTATCCAACACCACTGAGTACCCCGACTTCTCCTCTTGCCCTCCCCCCCCCCCCCCCCAAAAAAAAAAAACTTTTAAAATAAAATATATATTTTTTCTTATCCCACCCCTCCCCCCTCCTCCCATCTAGACAAAAAGTTTAAAAGTTTTTTTTTTTTGGGTGGGTGGGTGGTAGAGGATAGGTGGGGTGAAAAAAAAATTAAAAGAAAAAAAGAAGTTTTTTAATCTTCTTAAATTACTAAATTCGTAACATTTAATTATTTAAATGTTTTTTAAATATTTTTTTCTATTATATATATCTATGTGCACACCACATCAGCAGAAAATTCCACATATATGCACATGTGGCATAAGAGGGGTATTTTTAAATTCAATTAATCAAGTAGATGTGTGTTTTTAAGGTTGTCAATAGTTGAGGGACTAAAGTAATAATTCACGCTAAGTTTAGGGGTGTTTTCAATACTTATCTCTTTATTTTTTTCTTTTTTGTAATTTGTTAAAGTTTTCTCTTATAATTTCAATATTTTAAAATAAAAATATTATTTTCACTTGCTTCAAAATGCGTGTAGTCCAGCTATTTTAATGTCACATAAGTTTAATCAATGGTCAGAGAGATTTAAGTGTTCATTTGGTAAAGTAGTAAGTAAGAGAGTGTAATTGATAAATAAAGTCAAATATATGAGTCTCCCAAATTATTCCGCCTTAAAAAAATAAAATATTCAAACAAGATTAGCCGAGCATTACAACCTAACGTAACTACGTAAGAATTCAAAATTCTATCATATAACAAACATACAAATACATATACAAACAAATACATACACTCAACACCTATATATTTACTAGATAATGGATCCCGTGCCAGCACAAGCCCAATATATGTTACTTTTTCTGTCCAACAGTAAGTTGTCTACTATACTAAAATATAGTTGTCCATTAATATTTGTCTAATTTAGAAAATGAAGAGATAATTTACCTTTTTGTGTCTATTTTACCCTTGCAATTAAATACTATTTATCATCTAACACATTTCTCAAAGTATTAAATTTAATAAAGTCAAAGGATAATATAGTAATATTACCCATATTATTTATTATTTCTTAAGGAGTGTGCCAAGTCAATAGTGGACAAATATTGTCAGACCGAGGGAGTATTTATTTTGTCTCAATTTTGTGATATAAATAAAATTTCAAAAGTCAATTTTTTTTATGATTTGTAAATATTTTAAGTTATTAATTATTATAATTTTTAGCACTTTTAATATAATTTTTAGATAATATATGTTACTCCTTCTATCCTAATTTATGTGGCATCGATAGAATTTCGAGAGTTATCAAATTTTGATGTCTTTTATATATTTTTAATAGATAATTATTATGATTTATAATGCTTTTAGGTTATTTTTAATTAAGACATGTTATTCCATCTATTTCAATTTTGTGACACTGATAGAATTTGTCATTTAATCAAATTGCACAATAATAGTAATCCAAGTGACATACAAGCAGGGCTCACAGGTTTAATTGACATAGTAATAAAAGTTAACACTAACATTAAAAGCAAAGAAGGGGTTGTGAAGTGATTGTGTGTCTTATTCAAAGAGCTACACGTGTCTTACAAAAGGATGAATTGACAAAAGTAACCCAGATTGAATATTAATTTCAAACAACAGACATGTTGACGGAGAGGCGGTAGCTTATTCTCCTTAGTGCCCGTGCTAGCACGTACTCAATATCTATTATTTTTTTTTGTTCTCATTTTGTGTAATATAGATAAAATTTAGAGAGTTAATTAAATTTTAATATAATTTTTAAATATTTTAAGTTGTTAATTATTGTAATTTATAGTTTTTACGTAATTTTTAAATAATATATGTTACTTACCTTGTCCCAATATATGTATCACAAATAGAATTTCAAGAGTCATTATGTTGTTAATAATTGAGATTTGAGATTTACAATACTTTTTATGTAGTTTCCAAATTAAATAATACATGTTATTTCTTTTGTTCCATTTTATGTGACACAAATAGATTAATTTTATGAATCAATCGAATTTTTTTATAAGCAATCAATTTTTTATATGTTTTTTTTAAATATTTTAAGTTGTCAATTATCATGATTTATAATATTTTTTTGCGTATTTTTTAAATATATATAAGAATTAAAAAATAAGATAAACAAATTAAAATAATTTTTTTTTTTTCCAGATGTATATGTAAGTGTGAAACCACACAAGTGAAGCAGGCATGTTGACCTTCACCTGTGTGGTTATCCACACTTACACAAAAAAATAGTAGATTATATAGATGCAAATGTCGTTTTTATTTCTTGTATCATTAATTATTAATACTAAATTAGTACCAAATACGTTTTTTTAAGAAGACTACCTTTGAATTTTCAAATAAATATTTTATTTTTAATATAACATCTGTGATTTATGCATGTTGCTAATAAAAGGAATTGATCTTTTTCATCTTTAAAATAAAGTTTAATTGGATCAAATTAGTAGAATGGGAAAAAAGTTTTTTCTTTTTAATCCATTAAATATTCTTAAATGCATTTTCCTTTTCAAGGACAAAAGTTTTGAATTAAAAGATATTAAAATAATATATTTCTCTCTCCTTAATTATTGTATATTGCATTGCCACCTTTATTTTTCTTAAACGTCTTTTGCATTTTTAGTGATACAATTAATGCTTAATAAATTAATTGTGATTATACGGTATTGAATACTATCTTTCTCTTTCTTTAATTATAATAATAATAATAAATTGTAATTAACCTTTCCATTCTCGTAATGTAATCAATGCTTAATATAAACATCATGAGAAAAGAATCTCCGCTATTTTTAATCAAATAACATATTTCTCATCTTCTTCCTTGAAGAATTTGCAGCTATGGCAACTTTCTGCAGTCTCAGATCACTTTTGGGTCTCCAGAAATTGGTTTGTTCAGTTTCGCCATTTTATCCGATGCGCAGTTACTCTTCATCTCCTTTTGGTGTAAGCACTGTTTCTTCTCTTCTGCTATTATTTTTCCACTTTTGAACTGGTGAAAGACTTACAGTTAAGCAATAGTTGAATTGGGTACTTTTTGTTCCCCTTCAATTTTAGTTTCTGAATTGGTTGATGATTTTCTATTTTCCCTTACTACGTTCTTCTGTTAAACTTAGCTGAAAGGGATTATTGTGTGTATAAAATTGTCTTGGGATCCCTCATATGTCAGAGTAAATTTCATGTCCTTAGCCTGCAATTTGTCCTATGTAACTACATTTCACGTTTGCTGATTATATTAATTTCTGCATCTTCTACAGAGAATTGGATTTATAGGACTCGGAAACATGGGAGCAAGAATGGCTGATAGCTTGATTAAAGATGGATATGAGGTTGCAGTACATGACATGTAATGCTTACAACTTTATTCACTTATTTATGGTTGCTTACTCTGTAGAATCAATCACACGTCAATTTCTCTTTTTATTAGTAAGCAGGACTGGAAAGGGAGAGTGGATAGGGAGTGAGAACAGTGAGAATTAGATCCACATCTGTTGCGTGGGAAATTCTCACTGGTACTACTAGGCTATAAGCCTAGGTGGCTATGTTGCTCGGACTCTCCAAAAATGATGCCGTACCCATGTCGGGTCCTTCAAAAATGCACTACTTTTGAAGGATCCTACACACACGCTTTGATATTTTAGAAGAGTTTGAGCAACATAGCTAGGTGGTGTCACAACTTAGGTTAGTTTCATATGTTGTTGGATATAAAGTAGTATCTTTCAGGTATCTATGTTGTGTTATGAAAAACGGACAAGCATAGTCGGACAAGAAGCAAAAATTACATTGTTGGACACTCTTATATGTTATATTTTGGTGTAATACAATGTGGAATAGGGTGGTTGAGAATAGGAATCCTTCTATTTGTTGATGCTTTATTTGATTTAAAGGATTTGTCAGGTTCTAAGTCAATTCATGTGAAGTTCCTTTAACCTTGAGTTCATCAGTTTATATTTGTCCCAGAAATCATAATATTATGAAGATGTTCTCGGACAAAGGCGTTCTCACAGAAGATTTGCCTTTAAAAGTTGCAGAGTCAAGTGATGTAGTTATTACAATGTTACCGTCATCAAACCATGTGAGATTTGCATACCATTTTGTATCTTTTTACATCATGCACTTTCTCATTTTTCTTAGGCTGATTAATTATCCTGAATCCTCCATAACTGATGTGAATGTATCCCACTATCCCTTAGACTTATTATTGTTGTTGATGAGTTACAATATTTGTCAAATGAATCAATATATCTTTAATCATACAGGTTCTGGATGTCTATACTGGAAAAAATGGTTTTCTTAGTGGTGGTAATCTACTCAGACCAAGGCTATTTATTGATTCTTCTACAATTGATCCTCAAACATCAAGAAAGGTCTCTGCAGCTGTGTCTAATTGTTCTTTGATAGACAAGAGAGGTATATTAAGTAACAAAATGAATGAACTTCACAATTTCTGCATTGTGTTGATAGAGCATGTGATATGTTTTAAATACCTAATATCTGGTCATAAGGTACTAATGTCATTGTACGTTATAGGCGTATCAGTCGCTGCTTACCTCTGTTACCCACAATACATCCAGGGAGACAAATAAAACAAAAAAAACATACCCCTTTCTGTGCAATATCTATGACAATGTCACTGTTTGTACCTTATTATCTTCTTTTATGAGTTTTTCTTCTTAGACTAACTTACTCAATCAAATGGCCCAAAAAGCATGACGTTCAAAGTTAGTTAGATATGAAAATGAGGCAGCAAATGTGCATACCACCCTATTTTCTTTTTTTGGATGGTATATCTGGTAATTTTTCCCATGGTAGTTTCTCCCTCTTCCTCATATCATCCTGGTTGTCTATCCACATTGTGTGCAGTAAAATTCCAGTAACTTGGTTCAATTTGATGAAAACAAAGTCACACTCATTCAGTGGGAAAAGTACCGTAGAGGCAGGAGAAGGGTCTGATACAGACACCTCGATGAGAAAATCACTGGTTTCGAGGCTGGTTTGGTGGCCTTGAACCGACGTATTGTTGTTGCTGAGAACAACATCAGTTCTCTTGAATCCGTTGTCCTTGAGGACTTGATGATGTCAAAGGAAACCTTATTGAGCAAGGTGAATAGCACAAGGAAGGGCTGACCAACCTTGAGCTCAAGCTCATGGATGCTCCATCCGCGTTACACGGAGAGTTGAAGCCTTGAGTCAGCAGATGGAAGAGACCACACTCATAGGTGGGTGTGGTCTGGTTTCTAGCCGAGAAACACGTATTGAGGCTCCTAAACCCAAAGAGTTTCGGGGTGATAGGAGTGCTCAAGACGTTGAGAACTTCTTGTGGCAAATGGATGCTTATTTCGAGCATGTTAACATCACTAGTGAGGCTGCCAAGATCCGTATGACAGCGATGTAATTGAGTGATACCGCTATGTTGTGGTGGCGGAGGAAGAAAGCGGTATGGAGAAGGGAACGTGCTCCATTGATGATTTGGGGCAGTTCAAGGAGGAACTAAAACTACAGTTTTACCCTCAAAACGTTGTGCACGAAGCTCGTCGAAAGTTGACAAAGCTTAAGCAAACGTCCTCTATTTGTGATTATGTGAAGGAATTCACCAAGCTCACTCTTCAAATCCCAAATTTGACCAGTGAGGATCTATTATTTTACTTCTTGGATAACCTTCAAAATTGGGCCAAACAAGGGTTACAAAGACGTCAAGTCAATGGTGTGGACGAAGCTATTGTAGTGGCTAAATTGTTGACTAACTTTCATGCCGATGCTGCCAAAGGAAGAGACAAACGGAGCAAGCCAGTTGCTCCCAAGGTGGATCCCAATCGGAACAAAGGCAGGTTCAGACCGCTTTGAGAAAGAGAAAAATCAAACTCTCATAGTTCGGAACCCAGCTCCAACAACTTCTTTGTAAGTGAGGTGAGGTACTTCTTTTGGTTTGAATAGGGGGTCGTGTGCGCCTAAGTGCGAAAAGACAGTGCAAGCTTTGTTATGTCGAAACCTAAATGTTAAGTCAGCAACACTTCCAAACGCCACTTCTTCCCGTCGCATCCGTCTTCAGGATGATATAGCCATAAAGATGCACGTCTTAGTGGGGAAAAGATTTTGCCCCCGGTGTAGCTCGAAAGTAGAAAAAGTAGAACTCATTCGAGAGAGCTTGGTGGTCAGCCTCCCGGACTTCATATTCATCATTTTCGAAAGCGAGGGGAAGGGATCTCTTTTCCGTCACAAATAGCAATAAAAAGGGGTAGGGTTAAGGATCACTCATGTCATGGGCAGCAGATCTGACGAGCTCAACTTCCACTGAAAAGAGAGGCCGTTTCTTGTCCCCCTTCCAGTGGGGAACCCGCTCCCCGATCGTCACTCTGCTGCGTCTGGCCCGTCCTACGTACATGCCTAGGAGATGGTATTCTTTGTTTTAGGTCTTGATAGATTTTTCTATCGATTGAAGTTATTACGCTGGATGATTAAAGTTCCCAACCAGAGCAACAAATATAGAGGTAACCACAACCAACCTTCAAATTTCTGCAAGAATTATGAGGAACAAAAGAAAGGTATTCCCAATCGTGAAGGTTGTTACCTTTGTGGTGTGACATCTCACGCTGCTCAATTTTATCCCATGTTGAGCAAACTTGGGGCGAGGGTTGTTGCCCACAAACAGCAAGAACATGCTACTATGCAATTCTGCGAACAACCAGGGGAGCAAGGCGTACAAGTCGACGGGGCGGAACAAGGGAAGAACAAGGCTGTTGGCTTGTTCAATCACATGGCCTTGTTTAGTCATATGACGCTTGTAGCTATTGTTCCCCAACCGCCTCGTGTGAGGCTGCGCGAATCACTGTTTGTTGATGCCAAGTTTAATGGAAAAAATGTTCGTATCATAGTGGACATGGGGGCAACCCATAATTTTGTGACAGAAGAATGTGCTAAGGATCTTGAACTTGTCTTTGTGTCCAGTGATACTCTCCTGTTGCTCCCAAGGTGGATCCCAATCGGACAAAGGCAGGTTTGTTTCAAACCAGAGCAACGAATATAGAGGTAACCAACCTTCAAATTTCCGCAAGAATTATGAGGAACGAAAGAAAGGTGTTCCCAATCGCGAAGGTTGTTACCTTTGTGGTGAGACATCTCACGCTGCTCAATAAGGTGGGTGATGGTTTGAAGACATTGTTTTGGAAGGAACCATGGAACGGGCATGAACATTTGATGTCTGCTTTTCCAGACTTATTTTCTATATGCAGCAATCATGAAGCCACTGTGGCAGACACCTGGACACCTCAAGGGTGGAATATCTGTTTCAGAAGGAACTTAAATGACTGGGAGATTGATAGGGTGGTTGGTCTTCTGAAGGAAGTTGACAAATTTAAAGGTATCTCTGCCGTTCCAGATGTTATTAACTGGAAGCATATCAGCAATGGGAGATTCTCTGTCAATAGAATATACAAAACTGAAGCTTTGGGGCAGCCAGGAGGCAGTACAGGGCCATGGTTAAAGGTGTGGAAAAGTTTGGTCCCATCCGAAATTAAATGTTTCACTTGATTAGTGGCCAGAAGAGCTTGTCTTACTCATGAAGTCCTACAGAAGAAAGGCTTTCAATTAGTGTTCAGATGTTTCCTTTGCAATGAGATGGCTGAGACAAATAGTCATTTGTTTCTGCATTGCAAAGTGACAGCCCAACTATGGTCTCTTTTCTTCAGCCTCACAAGTAACAACTGCATCAGATCTTCTAAGTTGTTGGATCAGGAGAGGGGGTAGCAAGTCCCAGAAGAGATGGTGGAGAGCAGTTCCTTCATGTATTTGGTGGACAATATGGAAGAAAAGAAATGAGAGGTGTTTTAGGGCAGGTCTAGTAGACTAATACTATGCAGAAGATTAAATGGAATTGTATTGTAAGCTTTCATTTTTGATGTAAACTAGCAAATGTAGAGGATGAAGTTCAATTGGTAGATTTTTGTAATTAGCCTTGGTTATAACTCTTTGTTGATAACTTTTTGGAGGTCTCCAGCATATCCTTGATGCTGAGGGCAGAGGAATACAAATTACCAGTTTTCAAAAAATTAAATAAAATATATTGTGTTAAACTTGTTACATAACTAATGGTGATTTGAAATGCGAAAACGTTTGAGCCTAGTTTATCTTATATGGGTATAACGTTTCTTCGGCATGTGTAGTTTCTTCTATGCCGATAATTTAATGCAATCTTAATACGAAGTCTATTGATCAAGTTGCTAACTTGTCAACCGAAAGATTGGGTTTTCACAGTGACATGAATTTTCAGCTTCGCATGGAACATGAGATCTATACAATCTAACTTGAGGGAGATTTTCAGAGAATCACAGCCTATGTTATGCTGTAACCATTTTCGCATAAAAGCAAGGCTTTGTTGCATCATGTGAAATGATTATTGTTTTCCCTGTCTTGGGTTAAGAATATGTTATGCTGTAACCATTTTCGCATAAAAACAAGGCTTTCTTGCATCATGTGAAATGATTATTGTTTTTCCTGTCTTAGTTAAAAATCATAGCCAAATAATGTTGCGGTTTTTTAGCAAATTCACCACCGTCTTTGCAGATGGCTGGAAGGCTCCTGCTATGTTGGATGCTCCTGTATCTGGCGGTGTTCTTGCTGCAGAGAATGGGACTCTTACTTTCATGGTATTTCTACAATCTAAGTGGTTCTTAAGTGACTGTTTTTGTTATAATTTCACACCCACATGCTCCTTAGGTGACTGGCTGTAAGAAAATCATTCTCTAATTGAAATGTTCTTCTGTTTCCTGTTAAGTCTCTATGCCTTCAACAGATTTTGAAGCTCACAAGCAATGGTCTCTTAAGATTCGCACATTAGTAGTAATTGTAGTAGTTGTTGTTGTTAGTTATGGGACCTTACTATTTTTATCTAAGCTATCCATTTCTTAAATATTTGTCCAACTCCAATGCATTAGAGAACAATATGAATAAACTCCAAAACTTGTTTTTAATTTCAACTGCTGGGATATTTATAACTTGATAGTAGTTTTACATTTCATGACATACAATTGAGAATATATGAACTTTTTTCCTTTCTGACACTAACATGTAGTTTGGACATTGAATTATTCATAGATATTTGATGTGGAAAATTTAAATTACCTCAAACATTGTCTTGGTTACATACATATGGCATTCCACTGAAAAGCTGGATTAATGAAATACAGGATTTCTTTTTGTTTTGGTTGGTGGGATTGGGGTAGGGGGGATCTGCTTATCCTTATCAGAATTACCTGACTAGATGGCACACGTGTTTGTGGATAAAAAGCAAGGATATTATAATCCAATTCCAGACAGAAAATTCTTTCTTGTACTTTCTGGCTTCTAAAGTCAGATTCCTGTTGGTTTGAGCTAATAAGCAACATCTGCATGTAGGTTGGTGGTCCAGAGGAGGCTTACTTAGCTGCCAAACCCTTGTTTCTCTCAATGGGCAAAAACACTACCTACTGTGGTGGATCGGGGAATGGTGCAGTATGTCCAGGACCTATTTTTTAAACTTTTGCACTTTGAGTTTTACATGTCTGCTGAGTGCTGATAAAGACTTTGAACAATAAATCCTTTCTTGGGTTCTTCTGTTATATTTTGTTTTCCCAGCTTTGACTTTATTAAACACTGAGGTAAGTGGAACCGATAAAACTATACAAAGTGAATCAATATAAAGCAGTGTAATATGTCCAGCTTTCTCTATCAGAATAGGTAGCAGGCAGTTACTTCTATGACTTCGATTCAGTAGCGTTTGGAGGATTTGTGTATGTAGTATCGACATATTATCAGACTTCAGCTTCTAAGTGGTTTGGGTTTGGGACTCTGGTAGTTTAGGAGTTTACTTCATAGCCCAAATTAATATTAACTTGTATTGTTTTCAAGCAGTGTCTTGTTCATGTGGGTGTATATCTATTTAAAAAATTCAATTTATACATGAAATGAAAGTTTTTTGCAAGTGGTGTCGCATAACACCTTTGCCACTACTTACACTCATACATGTTTATATAATTATATCCAGATAGCGCATGCCAGATAGAAGTGTATGATCATCATTCAGCCACCAGGGGGTTTCTTCATGCCAGATAGAATTAATTGTCGGCATAACCTAGCTTCATTTTGCAGTCTTCTACAAGGCAATAGTTTGTATTTTCTGTAGTTTGAGAACTAAATACGAAATTGTATCTTGTGATGATGTCCCTAAAGCCCGAATTCAGGAAATTTAAGGCTGGTGAGATATAGGGTGTGTTTGGTATGAAGGAAAATGTTTTCCAGGAAAATAAGTGGGCTGCTTACTTATTTTCTTATGTTCGGTACGTAAGCAAAAAATATCATCCTAGAAGTATTTGTATATAATCTAAGACAAATAATATGGAAGGTAGAGATGGTGGCTATGGGGGGTAAAGATCAGGTGTGTTGGAGGGTGAGGATGGCACAATCAATATGGAATGACACTTGTTGAACTTGTTTTCCCTACTTCCACTAGGGAAGTCATTTTTCTCATTTTTATGGAACTTGTTTTCCTAGAGAAATGTGTTTTTCAAAAGTTTTGCAATAATTTGACCCAAAAAATAAAAGGAGAAAAAAAGAAAGGAAAGATTAAAAAAAATAATTTGCCAAATGATTTTCTATGGAAGGTTTTTAAAAATCTTTTTTAAAAGAACTGTCTTAATGCTAACTAACAAAATTTGGAGAAACTTTTGTCATGATAAATCCATTTCTGCCAAGAAAAATGCGTTAACTCTTTTTCTTTCTCAGACTGCAAAGATCTGCAACAATTTGGCAATGGCTATTAGTATGCTGGGGGTGTCTGAAGCCTTTGCTCTTGGTCAGTCTTTGGGAATTGAAGCTAGCACTCTAACAAAAATATTCAATTCTTCAAGTGCTCGCTGTTGGAGTAGGTACTCACTGCAACCTGGTACTAAAGAACTATTATAATCCATAATAAGACAAATGTCTTTATGAAAAAGCCTATTTGCATGAAAAATAGTCTGCTTTAGTAAATATTTGTCTTCTGCACAATTTTTATTTTTTGGGAAACAATGTGAACTGAAACCATTAACAAATAACCACAAATCACAACCTAAAGAGCACCTTGTTCAACAAACACCTTCTAGGAAGGGTGAAGTAAAAAAGTAGGTCTCAGGCAGACAAAAAACAACTTATTAAATTTTCAATCTGTGTATAAATTCTCTACATCTACTGACTTTCTTGGAGCTACTATGTATAGCTATCCTCCCTATAATGTCTTTCTTTATCTGTGCGCAATTACTTCATCCGGCTGTACAAGTTACCCTTGGAACATCTCCCATTTCCTAGCCCCCCATATATGTTAGATCATTCCCCACACAGCTGCAAGTATTTCCTTTTTGAACTGCTTCCATTGCTGTTACAAGTGTAACTCTGGTCCACCCTAACATCCCAGTCCTAACTGCATTGATCCAGTTACACTCCACAAACAAGTGCTTTGGGTTCTCAGGAACCTGATGGGCACATAAGCAACACTCATTCTCCTCCTCTGGTATATTCAACATCAACAACATGTCTTTTGTAAGCAATCTGTTTTGAGCTGCTAACCACATAATAACTCTGTGCTTTGGTTGGGCCACTGCAGTCCATTTAATCTCAACAGTAGCAAGTCGAGGTTGGTCAACTATTAAATCCAAATTGCTACAAGTAATAGAATATTCACCTGTAGGAGTCAGACCATACTTCCCCTGTACATGCCAACTTTTCATTCTTTCCTTTAAAGAGTTTATCTTCCTCCAATACCAACTACTATGAGGAGGAGCCTCCCATATGCTTTCAGTTGCTTTCATATATACCTCATGAACCCACTCGACCCACTTGTATTTCCAAAGAAGTTAGGAGGGCACATTAAGGGATGTAGAGTATGGAATATTGCTTCCACAGTATTAGAGTATTGAGATGCATTTATACAAGACATTACAACAGGAGATTGGTCTATATTGGCTAGCATACTCTGGATTTTCCACTTTAAGGATAAGTGCAATGATGGTGGAGTTCAACTGCTTTAACAGTTTTCTGTTCTGAAAGTAATCCATGACTGCCTCAGTGATGTCCTCACCAACAATATCCCGTGTTGCTTTGAAAAAAACCACTGCCATAACCATCAAGCCCAGGGCTCCTGTTACTATCAATTTTAAAGATAGCAGACTTCACCTCCAGTTTTATAAATGGCTTAACTAAATTAACCTGCTGATCAATAATTAACAGAGTTCCATTCTGAATAAGACTTTGGAAGACTTTAACCCTTTTCCCTAGCAAATCATTGTAGTAATCCACAAACACTTGGGCAATTAGATCAAGATCATTCTGCCAGTCACCTTTATCATCCCTAAGTTGTGTTGTGGATTGATGGAATCTCCTATGTTTAATCACAGAATGGAAGTACTTGGAATTATCATCTCCTAACCTCAACCAAGTTACTTTACTCTTTTTCTGTAAGTATACTTCAGCTAAATAAGAAGACTCTCTGTAGGCTTGGCATTCTAAATGCTCCTCTTGTTGTAACTCCATGTTCCCAGGATCAGCTTGCGACCTCAATTGAACCTTTTTAAGGCCATTCCTATCCTCAAGAACTTGAGCTTCTTCACAATTTGGAGCATTTTACAACGAATTACTCAAGCTCACCAACCAGCTCTGACCAAGTTTTGGAACTCCTGACACATTGCAAAACCGGAATTGCTTCCTAGATCTAGGCGTCCCTTCCTACAGTGTCATCCTTGCTGGACACTGGTCACTAATACCTTCAGGCAAGTATATTGCTTTACAAGAAGGCATCGTATCCAGCCATTCATTATTGATAAAAATCCAATCAATTTTTGAGAAGGTCCTCTGCTCCCCATTCTTGTCATTCCATGTGTACGTAGTGCCTATGTGTGGTAGCTGAATCAGTTCACACTCCTTAACACAATTATGAAAATCCACAACCTCTGACCATGATACTGGATTACCACAAATCTTATCCTCAGGGTATAGAGTTGAAGTCTCCCAGAATCATCCATGGTTTCTGACAGGTTCTATGGTTCCTCACCAGACTTTTGCACAAGTCCCTCCTTTCCTCCTTTGTATTGAAACCATATACAAATAATAGATCAAATGATAGTTGTAAGGGTATACATTACCTCATAAGTAATAATTTGAGCAGTCATTGTGGTAAAGTACAACATGATAATAATCCTGCCTCCATGTAATCCATATCCTCCCATTATAATGCTGAGCCAAGTTAGTGACATACTGCCATACTTCAAACAATTTTTCAACTAGTTGTTCAATCTTATTACTCTTTATTTTAGTTTCTAATTGGCCAATCAACCCAACCTGCTCTTCATTGCAAAGGAGCTTCACCTCCTCTTGCTTATTGGAGCCATTAAACCCCCTAACATTCCATCCGAGATATTAACCATTCCCTGTGAGAAGAATGGCCTAACATCCCACATTTCCAACTGTTCCTTCATTCAACCCTGCCTCATTTGATAACTGGAAAGAGTTTGGTGTAACAATCTGCTGGGTCTGCTGAACTATTGTCCTCCCAATCTTTGTTGGTGTTACCCAAGCTGCCTGGTTCTGAGCATTCTGAGCTTTATTTCCCTTTGGTGGGGTACCCTGATGCTTATTCTTCTAACTGGAGATTCTTTGCTATCTGATGGTATCTCTATGGTTGGTTTTCCTGCAATAGAGTGCTTGAAGTTGCAAGACTTTGTTGCTGGCAAACAGACTTGTTCCCAATCTGCTGAGGGACTTGAATATCAACCTGTGATTGTCTAATAGGTTCTACTGCCTCCACAATTGGCTTCCTCACTGCTGGAGCCTTCTTCCTGCATATCTCCTCTGAGGGCCCATACTTATGACAGTGATTGCATAAGGTTGGCCTCCAATCATATGTGATTTTCTGCTCAACTAGATCACCTCTTTCATTCACAAAAAGTGATTTCCTCTGGCAATTTAGCATTCATATTAACTTCCACGAATTGCCTAGCATAGTTGAGTCCCACCTTCTTCTCAGTGTTGTGGTCCACCATGATAGGTTTTCCAATAGGACTCCCAATTTTACTAAACCCTTTAGGGCTCCAACACTTGAATTCAAGTCCCAGTAGCTTAATCTAAATAGGGACTCTGTATAACTCATCCCTAGTGAATTCCATATCCGGGGTCCAAGCCTCCACAATGAAGGGCTTGTTATCAAAATGATAAATGCCCCCATGAAATCAAAATTATGCTAGTTAAATCTTGTCTGTACCGTCTAAATCTGTCCCCTGCTCACATATACAAAATCAAAGTGTAGCTTATTACTAACTTAACCTAATTCTTGTGTCTATGTAATGACAGTGACACATATAATCCAGTGCCTGGGGTGATGGATGGAGTACCTTCTTCAAGGAATTATATTGGAGGTTTTGCGTCTAAGTTGATGGTATGCGTTCAATCCTATCTTGATATAGTACAACTAATATACCTGCTAAGATTTCTGAGAACATGAAGGTTCAGTTCTACATTTATAAATGCATGTTAAAGTCCCTTTTAAGTGAACCATTAATATGCATTTCTTTTAACTGTGTTCTCTGGTGGGTTTTACTCCTGTGCAATTGCCGGCAATATTTTTGCTCATCCATTGTGGTAATTATGAGTATGCAATTGGTCTGCTCTTCTTTTTGTGTCTGTGTTTGATGCATCTGAACACCTATGTGTTCACTAAAGAGAGAGATCTGAGTTCATTAGGTGTAGGGTTACATCAGTTAAACAAAGATCCGTTTCAATTTGCTATGAAGTATTTTCCTTTTTCTTTTATACTGATTTTCATTTTTTCTCTTTGCTGCATAATCACTTGAAATCACAATATATAGGAAGTCAACAATAGTTTAGTTTGTATTATACTTTTTGGGGTTTACGCTATCATCAGTTACGGATGTTCTTGTCCTCCTCTGTTCAGGCTAAAGATCTGAACCTTGCTGCAGCATCAGCAAAAGATATTGGATTCAAGTGTCCCTTGACATCACAAGCAGAAAAGATGTAAGTCCTACCTACTTCAGCAACGAGTACATAAGATAATTAATGTTGCGTAGACTGCAGACAATTGTATGCATGTGAAGTTAGAAATAGAAGCTATGTGGTTACTTCAATTATAGGACCTACTTGTCGTACTAATACTTAAAAGAATAAGGATCTGCTGGCGGTACATTATTATCTGTCCACTCAATGCATTAACCTGGGGTTGAGGAATTTTGCCATCTGTAATGTTCTCAGCTGCATCTCCTTTCATATACATGAAATTGGAAGTATACTATTCAATTACAGTTGCAACATTCTATGCTAACTTACTAGGCATTGACAACATTTTCTTGAAATATTTGTTATTTGAACTCATTAAATAATGCACTTGGTAAATGATAGTACATGAATTAACAGTTATAACAGAGTAGACTTTCTAATGTACTGTGTATCATGATAATGCATGTCAGAGAGATTTCATAATTTATCTGAGCAAATACTTGGTGCTGGAATAATATCAGAAAGTGCTCTATGTTTTATCTGTTATTATTTACTTTCAGTGTGCTGCATTCTCTGTAGTTTGAAAATTGTTTTCTGCAATAAGTTCTGGTCAATAAACCTTGTTGCTGTGTGGTGCTTTTCTCCAGTTAGACATCTTGGTTGTGAACTCGATCGATGTGATTATCCAATTTTAGTCGTTGATTATGTCCTCAATTTTGTTGTGACTTGTTTATCATTGTAAATTCTCCGTTGACCATAAAGTTCTGAACACTTCACCACTATCTTCAGTTCTTGAGCCTCAAAAAGGACTTAAATAAGTGTTAGGCACTTCACAACTTGGTCCACGATGGACCATGTGGATGCCATATGAAAAATCTTCATTCGAATACAAAATGGAGCAAAGTGGTACATAACATATAGTAGGGAGAAGGTTTGCTAACATTTAAATAGGTGGGTGACACCGTTTCAAGGGACTAAAATCGCAATACTCTCTCAAAACAGCATGTTATTATATCATTTCTGGTTATTAGCATTATCTGTTGGAGTTAATGTTATCTAAGTATCTGAAATTCATATCTGTATCCAGCTTCACAGAGCTCTGCAATAACGGTCATGAGGCAAAGGATTTCTCTGGTGTATTTCGGTACTATTACTCTGGAAAGGATGAGCAGTAATCCCCTCAGCTAAGGTAGATGTGTTGGCTAGAGTTTCTGGTTCCACAATTCGGAATCCGGAAAGCTTGATCCAAGATTACGTGCTTGGTGCCCTGCAGAAAAAATAAAAATCTGTATAGTAGATGTTCTTAATCCTTTTCTTCTTGCATTTCAACAATTCACTTGGTTGGAATTGTGTATAAATGATGAACAGTGAAGTTAGTGGACTGATTTTTTTTTTATTTAACTCCAATTTCGGGTTCTATTTGTGATGTTATTAATGAAGTTTCCACTAATGGTGCTAGATATTTAAATTTAAATGGGAAAAGGCTTAAATTCACCCCTAAAGTTGTCATGAAAATACAGTTACATGTTTAAACTATTGGAGCGACCTATTATACACCTATACTATTCAAATGTGAATTAATACCACCCAGGAAGCTAACATGGAAATAAAATTAAATAAGACACATTTGAGTAAAACAAAGGCAATTTTCCCCAACCCCACCCTTCTTCTTCTTCATGTTACCCTACCTTTCTTCTCCTCCATTTTTTTTTTATCACAAACACTCTTTTTGCTATGGGTAATGAGAAAAATAATTTTTTTCATGATTAATTTTCAAGAGAAAAATTGAAAACAACATTGTGGGATAGAAATTTATTGCAAAGATTGGTGAGGTTGTTCAATTAATTAGGTTCATTGTTCGAAATTTTTTCTAGCGAGATATCTAAAATTGGTCAATTCATACTAATTCCTAGTGTTTTGGGAAGCGAGAAGCGGAAAAAAGCAACAAGGGCTCGCTTCACAAAAGCGAGAAGCAAGAAGCGAAGCGCACACTTTTTTTGAATAAAGCGATATTTAGTATAAAAAAAAAAAAATATTAAATAACTAAATAGAGGTAATATATTCTTAGATTAAAAGTAAATAGATAGTCAATACTACTCATAAGTCATAACATATAAAGCAAAAAATCAAAACATAATTAAATCACAAAGAATCAAACTCCTATTCTTCAACAAGAGCAACAAAAGAATTGAAAAAAATAGAACAGTAATATTAATTGAAAAAAAAATAGGTCAGTAATAGAGATTGAAAACAGAGCAGCAAACAGAATTGGAAAAAAAAAATGCAGCAATAAAAATATAGAAAAACACTCAGCAACAACAAAAAAAAAAAACAGTAGCAGATCGCAGCAGCTTCGCAGAGAAGAAGAGAACTTACAGGCTACATCAATCGCAAAGAAGAAGAGAAAAAGTCGCAGCTTCTTAGTCGCGTAAGTAACTTTCAGAAATTAAAAAAAAAAAACCCTTACATTTTAAAAGAAAAAACCCTAATTGGCGCTTTTTCATAAAAAGCGCGCTTTATCGCGCTTTCGCTTTTCTTGCGCTTCTCGCTTCTACAGTAGAAGCGAGCACCTTTTCAATGTCGTCTCGCTTCATGAACTAAAAGCGCAGGAGCCTCGCCTCGCCTCGCCTTGCGCTTTAAGCGTGCTTTTCTACGCTTTTTACCACACTGCTAATTCCACATCAAATTCCTCAAGTCAAGCACTGATTATTCAATTTATTTGTCTTTTTTGTTGATTGTGAGCATTTGAAATAAGATTTTTTTTAGATCTTTCTTTTTCTGTGTAAAAAGTTTCTGGGTTTGGCACAAAATTCATTATTTTAATGTATGTTCATAGATCTTTCTTTTCTCTCAGAAAAATCCTCTCTAGATTTTCTTCAAAATCAGTAATAATAAATCAAGCACTAATTTTTCAATTGTGTGACAAAGATATTTGCAAATAAATATTGCAAGTTTTTGTCATTCTCCTCTTTGAGCTTGAATTAAATTTGTGATTGTGATAATCTTTTGTGGTGGGTTTGGTGATGAATTATAAAATTAGTGGTGATATGACTTTTAATTTCGATAATGACAATGAAACTCATGATTTTGATGTGGATGCTGAAATTTATGGTTATGATTATGATGAATTTCAATGGCAGCGATAGGGTTTCGATGGTGAATGTAGTTAAATTTATTATGGTTGTTATCAATTTTTGATGATGACAGTGATTATGGAAGATTCCGGTGGTGAATTTGGTTGTGGGTGGTGAAATCTATGGTGATAGAGAAGTGAATTTTGTGATAGTAGCAACAATGGTAGTGGTTTAATGGTGTATAGGGAAGAAGAAGCAATTGGGTGACATGAATTTTCTTTTTTGAAATCTGACGTAAGTATTGATGTGGCAGTGATATGGTAATGACGTGACGCGAGTGTGAAACACTTTCTCATCATCTGACTAGTTGTATGTTCGTCAGGGTTGAAATAAATTCACTTTTAAATAATTCAGATGTGTAATAGGTCGTTACAATAGTTTAATCATGTAACTGACTTTTCGTAACAAGTTCATGGGAAAATTTATGTCTTTTCCCAAATTTAAATTTTTGTTTAGATATTTTAGGTTGTCCAATATGTATTTGCTGGGAAGTAGGCATACATTAGTTAAAATATTTTATTTATATATTACAAAAAAGGTAAAAAAATGCTCCTTCTCTTTCATCTATTAGGAAAGATTTCTAGTTATACAATTGGGATAAAGTTATATTACTGTTATTAGGGGTGTACATGATCGGGTTGGTTCGGGTTTTCAAATATCAAACCAAATTATTTGTGTTAGATTTTTAAACTTATAAACCAAATCAAACCAATAAAACTTGGGTTTTTCAACCTTGGATTTTTAGGATTTTTTCGGATTTTCGGGTTTTTCCGGTAAAGTATTCATACAAACATATAATTTACTTGTACTTCAAATAATTCTTTAGTCCTACCAAAATACAACTATCTAAGGTGTTTCTTTAAAAAATAACAAAAAATATGATATGATTAATGACACTAAAATATCCAACAAAAATAATAATAATGAAATCGCGTAAAATAAATATTGCAAATTAACAAGTCATAATGAAAATGATCATAATCTAAAAGTACTAAATTGTAACATCTCGCACCTAGAAACGACTATAAAGAGTTTAAAATATGAAAATATTGATTTTTTGGAAAGAATAAGGAAATCTGAAAATTGTCTAAGTTAAGAAAGTGAGTTTTGGCCTTTTTCAAACGGCCATAACTCCTAGCTCAGGATGAGTTAGGATCAGCTCTATGGATATGGTTGGAAAGACCTTGGAGAGATCTTTCTAGTGCTGCCAAGTTTGCGCGATTTCGACATCATATGCATGAGATATGCCTTTCAGAAGTTGGGCTGCTGGATTGAGGAAAGTCCCAATCCGAATTTAAGGAAGGGCAAAATAGTCTTTTCTCTAATTTATTTCCTAATTCGTTTTAAGGGATTTATTGGGGTAAACTTATTTTAGTCAGATTAGAAAAATTAAATTCACGTTCAGGGCTTGGAGAAAGGAGAAAGGAAGAAGGAAAGGGAGAAAAGCCAAGATTTCGCCAAGAACGTCAAGCGTTTGGAGTGGAATTCGTCGGGGGTGATCCCTATTAAGGTATGTGAGATATTTTCGTGTTGGGTTAGTCCACCCACACACCAACTTGTTCAATTCAGCAAAGATTGGAGTTGTTTGAATGTTAAGAAAGTGAAGTTCTTGAAGAACATTGTTGAATTCTTGTTGGTTGATTGTTGAATGCCTAGTATTGATTTGATTCATTTTTTCAGGTTGTTTTTCGAGTTAAATCTATTGGGTATTGAGGGTATAAATGATTCTAAGTGTTTGGGAAAAGAACCATTGAGGTTTAGAAGATTTAGAATTGAAAATCGGAGAAGAAAAATCGTCATAACCTGGGGAAGGGGGGTGGGGCGCCGCGCCAGCCAGCGCGCCCCAAACGGGACTCTGAAGTCCCCCCTTGGGGCGACGTGCCAGCCAGCGTGCCCCAGCAGTCTCTCTGACGTTTGAGGGCTGGCACCCCGCGTTTCTCAGAGCGCCAGGGACGCCAGTTCTCCCCATTTTCCCTCCACCTTCTCGTACTTGTTCCTAAGTGATGTACCTAAGTTTCCTAGTCGATTCCAACACTCTAAAGTACATCTAAACATCATGAAATCATCCATAAATATGAGATCATGAACCTTGAATCCATAATTCAATTCAAGGAAAGTTAAGTTCAAAGTCAAAGAAGTTAAGAGTCAAGTCTAGAAGTTAAGAAGCAAGTCAAGCAAAGTTTCTTAAAGTTTTCAAGGGTCTTTAACAATGTTTTAACGTCATTTTAAGACTTAAGTTTTGAAGTTAAGCAAGAGTAAAACTCTGGTTTGAAGTTCTTTCCTCAAAGAGGTATATGGGGACTATGTATTCCCAAAGAAGTTTTAAAAGAAATGTTTTCACATTTAAACAAGATTGGAAACTGAGATTTCCAAAGAGCCTTCGGGCTAGTTTTCAGAAAAGAGAAATCGCTTTCTAAATGAAGCAAGAAGGGAAACTTTGATTTCCAAGATAGCCTTTGAGCTAAGTTTTTTGAGCACTAATCTCAAATCACAGAGGAAATATGTTTTAAAAACATAAGAGCCAGTACATTTTGGGAGTAGTATTGAACACCGAATTGGGGGAGCGTTCAAAGAACCCACAACCCTTATAGAACCATGTAGCCATCATGAGTAGAAGAGGTTCATACTTTTTAGATGAATTCTTTCCAAATTAGACTAGTGGATCATTATGCAGTTCAGGTTCTGTACCTTTGGCCGGGTATAGGATGCTCTGGCAGCGTGAGGTTGATCGTTGTATCATCACTATAGCTCTTATGTGATGGTTGTCGGTTAGAGAAACTCCCATAGCAGTTATTGTATTTTTATATACATCAGTTCATTTGTATTTCTACATACATCTCAGATTTATTGTATCTTTGCATACGCACAAAGTTTATAACATGTTTTTAAACAACTTTTCTTTATATTACACTTATTTGAAATTGCTTTATATTGAAATGAGTCAGTCAGGTTGAGTTGAATTGAACCAGGTAAGTTATTCAGTTTCTTTCAGATTCCTTCTAGCCTATGTATTTTTAGCATTCCAACTCGCATACTCGTACATTCAATGTACTGATACCAGTTGGCCTGCATCTTATTATGATGCAGACGGAGGTAACCAGGATCAACATCCAGCACCTCGTTGA